GGCAACGCGCTATTTGGAGCTTACTGTAAGAGCTGCACCCTCTCCTCGCTTTCCCTACCCAGAGTGCTAATGAGGAAAGGAAAGTGTGGAAATCCTTGGCTCCCCTAATTACGGCGCTTTGCCCTTATAACTTTTCTGTGCCTGCGTAGCACGGCGAGAGTCTTGTTTCTGTCAATCATTTCTGGTTCTTTCTGCCTCCAAAATAACCAGGCATGTCTTCTGAGCCTTGAGATTATGGCTGCCCCTTCTCTTCCGTAATTATAAGAGGGAAAATGATGAGGATGTTTTGGGTTTTACTTTGCAATAATGAGCCACCGCCATCGGGAAGGGTTTGTGTCTCTGGCCCCGGAGTGTCTTTTGTGGTAGTTTCCAAACCTTCCTAGGAGCCACAGAGCTGCAGATTTGCTTGCTCTTACCACAATCCTGGGATGTGAACACGTGCCACTTCCCCGTCTTTCCCTCTGTCACAGTGTAGGTCCTATTGTATAGAGGAGAAATCACAGACAGGTGGGAGTGCATGACAAAACTCACGTTGAATCCAGGCTCTCTTCTATACCAGAGTGAACTCATGACTTTTCCCCTCTGAGCATAAATTCCTTTCTTCTTGAAACACACACACACACACACACACACACACACACACACACACACACACACACACACACCCCAAAGAGTTCCCCTTTTCAAGGCTGTGCAGAAAAGTAGGTCAAACAACACACTTTAACTAATAGCGTTCTGGCCACCCAGTAGGTGCTCCTACCTTCACTTAGCACGCCCCTTGCTTGGGGAGGGCTTCCTTCCCATTCTTGTGTTCGACTGAAAGGATTTGATTTCCTTCTGACTTAATTTTAGGCCCAAGTAAAGCATTGCTAGCTAAGGTCTGCTGGATCTCAAGGTGCTCAAACCACCTCGGAGGTGCAGTTTGGGAGATGGAGTTTAGAGAGCCATTGATGGTTATTTTAACAGAAAACGTCCTACCTTCCTCGGGCTCTTCTTTGGCACCCTGGCTCTTCGGTTGCACCAACTGTGATGGTGATGCAACAGTGACAACAAACAACAACTGCTGTGGTGTGTCGGGAGCCACCACATACTTCATGTCATTTGAAATCCCTATAGTGGCCGGGCTCGGTGGCTCAGCCTGTAATCCCAGCACTTTGGGAGGCCGAGATTAGTGGATTGCCTGAGCCTGCGGGTTCGAGCCCCACCGGGGCAACTTGGTAAGACCTCATCTCTACAATAAATCAAAAAAAATTAGCCGGGCATGGTAGTGCGCGCCTGTAGTTCTAGCTACTGGGAAGGCTGAGGCGGAAGGATCGCCGGAGCCCAGCAGGTAGAGGCTGCGGTAGCCGGGAGCGGCCATTGCACTCCAGTCTGGGCAACGGAGTGAGACTCCAACTCAAAAAAAAAAAAAAAAAAGAAATCCCTATAGTGACTCGACGAGGTAAATTTTATTTTCAGCGTCTTCCAGGTAATAGACTGGAGCTCAGAGAGGTTAAATGACTTGCCTAGGGTCACACAACTACCGTGAAAGGTCCCAGTGACCCCAAAGCCAATGCTTACTCACACAGAAATAAGTCAGACACTTCCTTTTAGATGGATTGTCTAGTACTAGCCTTTTCCCCTTCCACAGGCACCCTTTTTTCCTCCTCCATAGGGAAATGTCAGCTTTGGAAATAATTTAACCCAAATACTCACTCTGTTGGAATAACTCTCCTGGTGCTGCTGTAATTTGGCTTACAATTATAGTTAATGGAACATCTCCGAGGTGAGCTCAGTGCTGCATGCATGTGGAAAAAAAATTCAATGTGCTAAGCATGCAAAAACATGATCTTAGATGTTCATTTTTATGAGCAGAAAAAAGAAAGCAATTAGCAAGACATTTTTCAGCAAAGGGGGGAAAAACACTCATAAAACCCACGGTCTTGAGAGAAGCTCGGGGATGATCCCTGGGCCCCGTTAAGGGTGCAGAAATGAAAAGGGTTGGTAAGCCACAGGCTGGCGGCTGTGTAAAGCTTCTTCTCAGGAGTCCAGATCCACTGTCTCATTATTTGCAGATACTCGACAAGAGCCAGAGGGAAGCAGCAACATCAGAAACGCAGTGCGAAGAGAGGAGGTGGCTGATTAGAAGAAACAAAGAAAGGGATTTGAGGAACCCATGCTAGGAAATCCCCTTCTCAGAGGGAGGCATTTCAGAAGCAAGCAGTCCTCCTTCTAGAAGTGATCTCCATGCCATGGGAACTGGGAACTCCTTGTTTACCCCAGCATGCCCCCTGTCCCGATGATGCACGTGGAGGGCATTATGTGTCCGATGCCTCTGGTAGCCTTGAAAAGACAAAACAAAACAACTTTCTAGGGGATTCCTTTCAACTCAGCTCATACAGGACTAAGGCTGCAGCATCCCAGGCTGGTGTGGGCGCTTCCTGGGGCAGCAGGGACAAGGGAAGGGAGCACCTGGAGATGGAGATGGTGCACTTGCATCATTCCTTTCTCCTTCCCCACCATCTCCCAGGGGTTTATGCCTGGGCGGTCACCTCGGGTTCCTGGGTCCTGCTGTTCCAAAGCCCTCTGGGTGCCTGCTGGGGGGATAGAGGACCAGGACTCCAGAATAACTGGGTGGGGAAAGGAGAAGGCTGGAGGCTAGCAAGGGGGAAGGCGAGCTGGAGGCACCCGATGCTCTCCATTTCTGCCTCTGAACTGGCACTGGGTGTCTGAAGCCAATCAGGGCGAGGGGGACTGGCCACTTTGCGGGGGTCCTAAGAAAAGACTCAAAGGGGTTTTAGAGGTGGGCCACTCTTCCCCACTGGAGACCGCCTGCTGGAGACGGAGTTGCTAGTTGGGGGGGAAGCGGGGAGAGGAACTTGCTGCCGACGTACAGGACCAGTGGGCACTTGTGCTGCCCAGTTTCCTCCCCTGGGAGACCCCTGATTCCAGGAGGAGAAAGCAGGTGTGTCTAAAAGAAGCTGCTGCGGTCGCCCTAGTCCCTTCTTGGCCCCACAGGCCCCGGGTCATCCCCTAATTTGGAGCCTAGTGCTCAACCTGTGGCGACTTTGCTCCACCAGCACATTTAGGGATGTCTGGCGCTACTTTGGATTGCTATTGCTTGTGCATTGGCCAGGGCTTTCCAGAGAAGCAGAAACAATGGGACACACACACACACACACACACACACACACTCAGTGTGTGTATCTGGCTATGGAATTACAGAGCCTGAGACGTCCCAGGGTCTGCTCTCTGCAAGCAGGAGACTCAGTGAAGCTGGTGGGTGTGGAATCAAAGGCCTGGGTGCCGGAGCGATGGTGGGGTATGCTCCAGGCTGAGTCTGAAGTCCTGAAACCAGGAGTACCCAGGGAATGAGAGGTGGATGTTCCATCCAGGCAGTCAGCAGAAAGGAGGGGGTGAGGGAGGGAGAGAGAGACAGAGATACAGAGAGGGATTTGATTAGAAGAAACAAAGAAAGGGATTTGAGGAACCCATGCTATAGGGAGAGAGGGAAGAAGAGAGAGGAAGAAATGGGGAGGAGAGAGGTAGAGAAAGAGAGATGGGGGAGGAAGGTAGGGAAGAGGGGAAAGAGAGAGATAGAGACAGAGAGGGAGGGAGAGGCAGAGAGAAACAGAGGCAGCGAGGGAGAGACAGGGAGAGACAGAGAGGGAGACAGAGGGTGGGAAGGAGAGAGAGAGAGAAAGAGAGAGATAGAGAGAACAGAGAGAGAGAGAGAAGATGGGAAGGAGAAAGAGGGAGAGAGAGAGAGAGAGAACCCTCCTTTCCTCTTTTTTGCTCTGTCTGGCCCTCAGTGGATCCCATGACGCCTGCTCACTGGGGAGGGCCGTCTGCTTTTCTGAGTCGGCTCAAATGCTCATCTCTTCTGGAAACACCCTCACAGAAATAGCCTTTAACCCGAGACCTGAGCATCCTGTGATCCTGTCAAGTTGACACATAAAATTAACGACCCCCGGGGGTTGTTACGTGTGCCCGGGGAGGAGGGGCAGAGGCCAGAAAGCTGCTCCACATCCTACGATGCTCAGGACCCCTCCCCCATGGCCAACAAGAAAGTGTAACCAGTGCCAAGGTTGGAAAACCTTGATGCCGACGGTGCCTGAGACTCCTTTGCTGATTTTATTTCTCTTGCCAAAATCCTAAGCAGTGCTTATCATTGATTTTTTTTTCCAGGCCTGTCTTTCAACGGCAGAGCAACTTTGTCTGGTGGAGCCATTCCAGTCTTCCCAGCTGAACCAGCATGGAGGGCAGGTGTCTCATTTCTCGAAGGCAGCACTAGCGGGCTTGTTTCACGAGCGACCCCGCAGTGCTGACCACATCGTGTGCGCCAACCACATCTTGTCTGACAGCAGCAGGTTGGCCAGCTAGAGCACAGGGTGGCGGTGTGACATGGAAAGGGGACTAAGTAATTAGGTACTATGTTTCTGCAAGCTTCTCGGCCTGAAGGCTATTATTCCTCTTTACCAATGTGTCAGGAAGAAAGTATACTCGGTGGAGGAAGTCTTGCTGAAATGAAATACACTTCTGAATCAATTTTCTATTCCACCAAAGAATCTTTAATCACAGAGCTGAACACCAGAAGTAACATAATGAGACAAGAAAATGAATGATACTCTAAGAAATCAAACCCATGGCTCTCAAGCAACAGTCTCACAATTCAGTCTAGGAAAACATAACCATTGCTATGTATGTGTCCACCAGAAGCTTAGGGCCCCCTCCAAGTAATAATCTACTCTTTTTGGTTTCATTTGCTCTTTTTGGTTTTTCATTTGCAAAATTAAAAACAATTCCTCACATGCATTTTGTCTTGGTTCTTTTGCATTGCATTCTTTAGGCAAAAATCCAAAGCCCACTTGTAGTAGGGAATTAAATAGGACCATTACAAACAAGCCAATTTGAGGCGACCTTAGAGGGTAGAATATTATAATTGGAAGCCAGCTCGCCACGACTGGAATTGCTGCTGTCAGTTTGGGGGAAAACTCTCCTTAGGTGGATGCTGAATGCTGTCAGCTGCTGTCCTCAAAGCTGCCACTATCCCGGCAAGAATGGAAATGCATCGGGCTCCTGGGATCAGATACATAGCCTGCATTAGAAGAGAAGTTCATTGTTACTCATCAGCCTTCCAGTCCACCCCTCCCATTTTCCTGAACCAGCTTGGCCCACGGGAATCCACAACTCCCAGGCAGTCAATCCAGATGTGGGAATGGGGACTTTGGACAGCAGTTGGTGAGTAGAAGCAAAATTTAAAATGCAAACAGAGCTGAGCCCAGACAAATGTATGTGCGGGTGTATCATAGGCATGCACTGGCTAGGCGGCCTTTGGAGTTTGGAGTTTGGAGTAAAGGGACGGGTCAGGAAGGTGATATGTCGTAATGGCTAGAAGCATAGGCCTCCATGGTGGGCACAGGCTTCCAAGCTCTGGCTCTGCGACTTGCTGGCTCTGTGGCTTTGGTCAGCCTAACTTTTCTGTTATCTCACCCTCTATCTAGGCTGCCTAAGTCTCCGTGTCTCTATCCACAAGTGAGAGAAATCATAGCACCCCTCACAAGGTCGGCAGTGCGCATGAGGCCGTCGCAGGGTCTGGTACATCGCGCGTGCTCGACCAGTGATGGCTGCAAAGGGAGGGGGAGAGAGCAGTGGGGAGACAGGAAAGATCCTTCCTCCACGGCAGGTTGGGCCTGTTTGTCTTCTTCTCCTCGGAAGCCCACATTTTTGGTGTACATCAGCGTTTAGGTCTAAATTCGGTTGGCATTTGATGCCCTTGGAATGACAGCACTGGGTGTGTCCCGAGCACGGACCTAATGGCTCAGGCTACTGTCTGGAAAGCCAAGGGGCACATGCGGTGAAGCGGTTGCCTCTCAACTCTGAGTTAAGAAGCCATCTATCGCGTCTGTGAACATGGGCACATCTGTCAGCGGCCATGGCTGCTTGCGCTGCCCTTTGATAGCTGAGCTTTCAGAGCCAACCCAGCCATCTCCATTTTCATTAAGACATCTCGCGGTAGCAGTGGGGCAAGCATATTTATTTTCATAAGAAAGGCCCCTGTCAAGACCCCAAAGGCAGCACATAAACTCTCCTGAGACGAAATGCCCGACGGTGACACTGCTGCACTGGCCCTGGTCAGACACGAGGGGGGTGGTGATGGGTGCAAGATGAGGGGAAGCAGGATACACATCCCCAAATCTGTTTTTTTTTGAGAAGGCAGGATTTATTGACAGGACAGAAAAGCTCCCACAGTGGGAGAGGCCCCAAAGGGGTTGCTCCTCGAATCTTAACCTGGGGAGGGCAAAGCAGAATCTTTATCCTGTTGTGTGCATGTTTGCTTTTGTTCAACCTGAAGATGCAACTCCATTTCAAACATAGACAGATGCTTTAAGAAGCTGGTAATCTGGTAATGCTGGTAAAGATACCTACACACGTATGTTTATTGCAGCATTGTTCACAATAGCAAAAACATGGAACCAACCATGTTGCCCATTGAAAGAGGACTGGATAAAAAAATGTGGTACATATACATGATGAAATATTACCCAGCCATAAAGGACAAAATTATGAACTTGCAGCAACTTGGATGGACTTAGAGGCTATAATACTGAGTGATCTATCACAGAAACAAAGAACTGAGTATCACATGTTCTCACACATAAGCAGACTTTGAACCATCATCATAATACTATAAGAAAAGGATTGGTAGTAATGGGAAACTGCCAGGGGAAGGGGGGCACACATCACCGACAAGGGTACCTGTACAATGAACATGTGTATACCTAACCCTGAATTGTACCCCACATCTTTAAAATAAAAAATTTGAAAATTAAAAAAATTAAAAAAAAAGAAGCTGGTGATCCTCTCATGGCTATACTCAACCTCCTAACGTGTCACATGCAACTTCATGGGCCCGCGACGTCCTAGTGCCTCTTGCCCCTCAGGACTCCGGTGGAAATCTGACTGTGGACTTATGCCCCACCAGGACAGCCGGGCGGGCTCTCCTTTGGCGATGGACAGTAGAATCAGCAGGGCATGGAGGCTGGCATTTATAATTGGTGCCATTATAGCCAGGTTGTAAGAACAGTCATGTTGGATGTGTGTGGCCGCCCAGCTCCAGAGGGACTCAACTGGACTTGACCACAGGCTTCAGGAAAAGACTAGACCAGGTCTGCACGTTTTGCTACTTTAGGGTGAAAGGTCTCAGGTAGACAGGAAAAAGCTTTGGGTTTAATGGGAGCTCCATTCTCTAGTCTGCGCTTTGGGAGGGTGTGGAAGAAACAGCTCAGAGCCGCTATGACACCACTGTTGGCTTATGGGGTGGAGTGAGGCTAACTGAAGGTTCTTTCTCGAATGGTGTGATGTCCTGGGTGGGAGACATCAAATCCGCCTTCTCTTGTTCCATTCAGGTACCCTAATGCCCTCTCCTCTGCCCCGGCACAGATGTGCACTGGTAAAAGCAGCATTTGCATCAACACATCACATTGTCTTACTCTCCATCTCGGGAGAATTCTCCCTAAAGTTCTATGTCTTTAAGAGCAAGTCTTTAAGCTAAAGAAATGCTTCATCTTGAAACTTCACCATGAAAGGAATGACTTCTGGTCAAAGCACACCTTTCAAAAGGTGCCCTATATTTTGTGGTTGTGAAGTCACATCTGTAAAGGTTTGAGGAAACGACGCTACATTTATTAAGAAATGCGATGATATGACACTTGGAGCACGCTTCCCCCTCCAAAGGATCTGTTACTCGACTGGCCAATTATGCTGCAAAGCTCATGATAAAGAGCACCGGGCTGCATTCTAGACACGTATGAGGAGTCAGATGCACAGACTTTTCTTTCTTTAATGGACCCAAATAGCTTGCCTGCATCTAACCAGAACGTTTTCTTCTCTTTGTTTCTTAAAAGCTTTCTAATGCCTGGGTCCTCACTGTCCTCAGCAGATGAGGCAAACTGGTGAGGATCCCAAAGCCCAAGGTCTCTGGGGTCTTCTGCCAGCCAAATCAGAGAACCCAACACACATCATCCAATTTATTCTCCCCATAGCCCAGCTCTTGTAATAAGTCTGCTCTCTCTAACTTGCAGACATCGTTTCAGTCCTCCATATAGTCGGAGGAGGCTGCAGTGACTAAATGAGCCCATTGTGCTAAATTCCAATTAAAAATGGAGGCTTTCAGGCTTCAAGGTTGGAAAAAGGACATCCCAGCCAGAGCACACAGACATGGTGGCTGGTGATCCAGGCAGTTGTACTTCCTCTGGCATCCAGAGGCCTGAAAAAAAAAACGTTGCTAATTATTTCAAAGAGCTGTATTAATTCTTTCTGAAGCAGTCCTGTGCAAAATGGATCCCATCAGCTCTCCCCTCACCTCTGCTCTGGTGCTTGAAGGACTGGCTGGATTTACATTTTACCCTTGGGTGCTTGGTTAATGGGGACACATCCCTTGTTTTTCTTTTCCTGGCCTGCACCCCTTGATGTGGGATTTAGAAGCAATGGACTCAGTACAGGGTTGACAAAGTGTTTGGAATGTCATGAGATGTAGGAGATATTTTTATAAAGAGTTGCACTTTTTTCCATGCCTGCAGGCACACATACACACTCACACCTACACACTCGTGCATGCTCACACACATTATTGAGCTTAAAGGTAAATACAGAGTGATAAAAGATACACAAGATCAAATTTTATACTTTTAGAATGTCTTAAGATATTTAAAATACTTTTTCAAGCATGTGCACTTCTCAAAAGATGACATACAGCCAACAGACACATGAAAAACGTCTCAGCCTCACTAATCATTGGAGAAATGTAAATCAAAATTGCCATGAGATACCACCTAACCACGGTAAGGATGGCTGTCATTCGTAAGCCAAAAAACAACAGATGCTGGCACAGGTGCAGAGAAAAGGGAACGCTTCTACACTGTTGGGAGGAGTGCAAGCTAATTCAACCTCTTTGGCAAGCAGTGTGGTGATTCCCAGGAGAACTAAAAATTGACCTTCTATACAATCTACAGTACCCAGAGAAACATAAATCGTTCTACACAAAAGACACCTGCACACACACATTTAATGCTGTATGATTCACAATAGTAGAAACGTGGAACCAACACCTCTGCTGCCCATCAAAAGTGGACTGGATAAAGAAAAAGAAAATGTGGTAGGTATAAACATGGAGTATTACACAGCCAGAAAGAAGAACAAAATCATGGCCTTTGCAGCAAATTGGGCGCAGACTAAAGGATCTATCGCAGAAACAAAGATAGGAATGCCGCATGTTCTCACTCATAAGTGAGTCCCGAACATGGAAGGGATTGGCCCTGCTAGGGGAGGGGGAGAGAGAAGGGTGGGGGCCACGTGACAACATGAAGCATCCAAACCTGGTCCACTACCGGGGTAGTCATGGCCAGTCAGAAACCTAAGCTTCACCTGCATGCAGCCTGCTTATGTTTTAATAGTTAACCCTCATATGTACCCCACATCCCTATAGTAAAATAAAACTTAAAAAAAAATGAACAAATAAAGCAGGCGACAATTCTATCGGGATTCTTGTTCCATTCAGACATCAAATCCGCCTTCTCTGTCTATAGGGACTCTTGCTCCATTCAGATACCCTCATGCTCTCCTCTGCCCCGGCACAGACGTGCACTGGCAGAAGCAGCATTTGCATCATCACATCACATTGTCTTATTCTCCATCTTGGGGGGATTCTCCCTAAAGTTCTATTTCTTAAAGGTGTGCTTTGACCAGAAGTCATTCCTTTCATGGTGAAGTTTCAAGACGAAGCATTTCTTTAGCTTAAAGACTTGCTCTTAAAGACATAGAACTTTAGGGAGAATCCCCCCGAGATGGAGAATAAGACAATGTGATGTGATGATGCAAATGCTGCTTCTGCCAGTGCACGTCTGTGCCGGGGCAGAGGAGAGCATGAGGGTATCTGAATGGAGCAAGAGTCCCTATAGACAGAGGAGGCGGATTTGATGTCTTCAATTGATATTACAATACCTGACATTTTTCTTGCTTTTTCTCCAATAGATATCAACATTTCTAGATATTTCAATATACAACCCTTTTCTTGCTTTTTCTCAAATAGACATCACCTTACCCATGGCAGTTTCCTTAATACTTACCGTATTTGTCAACGGGGGGAAACTGAGGGCTCCTTTTCATCTCCTCCGAAGGCAGGTCTTGAGAGGAACGCTGTCCAGCGCTGAAAAATAAATGAAACACACAGCTTTACACTGGTGGTTTGCTAATGATGTTTTTTGAAAAACAGATTTCATTCATTCGGCATAGAGTTCAGCGAGATGGCAAAGTGATGCAAAGGTGTTTTTATCTCCTACAAGTGACTGGCTGGGATTAGTTGGTGTAAATCCAATCTGAGCCTGAGTCCTGGTTGTGACGTGTAGGCTACAGTTCCTAGCAGTATAACCTGGGCACGTCGCCCTTTCTGAGCTTCAGTTTATTTATCTATGAAATGGGACTAGAACATAAGTAATTTCCAGTTTCTGCTTGCAATCCTTACGTAAAAGGAACTAAGAACAAAGACATTACCATGCTAATAATAATATCACACACTAACACTTAGCAACACATCTCCAGGAGTTTTATTATTACTGTTGCTATTTCATAATGATAATTGCAAGATATAGTGATAATAACATTTATTTCATGATTCCTATGTGTTAAGCATTCAGACGTATGATGTCATTTCTCCCATTTTACACACGTAAGAAAGCTGATACTGGAACAATCAGGTCACGTGTCACACAGGTTTTGTAAGTGGCTCATCTGGGATTCAAACATGACTTTTAGGCTCCAAAGGCAATGCATTTATTCACTATTCAAATATGAATTTCTTCCCGATTTCTGTTCTTCATGGATCCTTCCCTTGTCCCAAACTTATTCTCTTTTACCACGTTGGTTAATGGACCACTTCCTTTCTAGTTCATCAGGCTTAAAACCCAAATTTATCAAAACCCACATCCTGATGTCTAATCTCATGTGTCAGCTACAGTCTCTCTTGCCTCCAACCGTTCATTCCTTGTCACTCCCAAAGCAGCTGCCCTTGTGGCCCTAGACCTGCCCTCGCCATGCTCGTAGGAGATCCTCCACAGGGGTTAGCAGGTACTAAAAACAAAAGTGTTTTAAATTAAATAAAATCCAGCCCCCAAGTCAGTTCTCGGCGTTTCAATCACCAGCGCCCTATCATCCTCGGTGACCTAAGCTAAAATTCTCAGGGACTCCCTCGGTGGTATCTTTCTTTCTCTTGGATCTCTCACCCCGATCAAGTCTTTCTAGCTCTGCCTCCAAAATATAATCCTGGTCTACCCATCTGCCTCCTCCTTCACAGTCTTGGCCACCTCAGCTTTTTCTTGCCTGGACCTCTGCCTCTCGCTGCCTCACGCATCTCCCTGCTGTCACTTCTGTCCCTCCATTTGCTATTCTTCAAGGATTATCCAGAAGGATCTTTTCAGAACATAAAACCGATCAAGTCATCCACCTCCTTACAATCCTCCAGTGGCTTCCTGGTCCATGTGGAATGCAAGACAGATGCTCCACCCTGCCCTCCAGGGTCCTGACACTGCTGGCCTCTCAAGCCTCAGCCTGTGCCCGCTCCCCAGATTTTGTCAAGCACTCCCGGCAGTCTTCCTGTCCCTTGAGCCCTGCAAGCTCCTTCCTAACTCAGAGCCTCTGCATTAACTCTGTCTGGAATGCTCTTCCCAAGGAACCCAAATCCCATCTTGTTGAGCTCTCACCCTGCTCTCTCCTAGGACTGGCTCCTGTGTCAGTCAGGCCTCAGTTCTACAAGGGCTCCCCTGGCCACTTCTGACACATCAATTCCCAATTCTATCACATCACGTCCTGTCACCTGTTCTCTTTCAGCACTAGATAGAGTCATCTTACGTATTAATCAGTTTACCTATACACCCTCTATATTCCTTCCATACTGTGAGGGCAGGGACTTGTCTCTGTTGGCTGCTGGGTCCTCAACACTCAGAACAGCACTTGGCACATAGGAGAAGCTCAACAAATGGTTTTTCAAGAACTTAATTAATTGATAGATCTCTGAATGGCGCCCTTCCCTCCAGTTACTCTGCAATTCCTCAAGCCAGTGTTCTAAGCCCTCTACAATCCAGCCCCCTATGTGTGTCTTGTGCTCTACAGTTTATCAATACCTCCCCTCGCCCCAAGTTCAAGCCACACGAACAGACTTTGGATTTTCCAGACATTCCCGAATTTTCCCTTCTCTATGATGGTGGCTGAGCTGCTCTCACTGCCTGAATGTGCTTGCTGACATCTTACTTATCCCCAACAGGAAGCAACATGGTACCATGGTTAGGAATGAGCATTGCAGTGCCAGACTCCTTGAATTTGCATTCTAAATACATCATTTACTGCTCTTAACCTTGGGCAAGTTATTAATTGCTCTATGCCTCGGTTATGCAACTATAAAATGAGAATTATAACAAGACTTGGCTTGCAAGGTTAATCATGAGAATCAAAAGAGTTTATAAGCTTAAAGCACTTTGAACATTGCTGGCATTTCGTAGGCACTCCATAAATGTTACCCACTTTTATTATTCTTCAAGGTCCAACTCAAAGTCAGCAGCTTCTGCAAAGTCCTCTTGAAAACCACCAGTTAAAATGAAACTCTTCCTCTCCTGTACCTCTCCAGAACGCTCTACTCCATCCACAGTGAGTATGCGAGTCTGCCTTAGCATAGAATTATCTGTGCGCATGTGCTAGTGAACCCCATTAAACAGAGACCCTTGGAGGTCAGAGTTTCTGTCTAATACCTTTGGATCCTCCACAGGGGTTAGCAGGTACTTTGTAAATAGCTAAAAATAAAAGTGTTTTAAATTAAATAAAATCAAGTTATTACAAAATATTCATTCAGAGGGATCAGATTTTTTTGAAACCTAACATCAGTTCAAGCTGATTCATTCACCTATTGGACCTAAAAACGACTGCACCTTTGGCCTCACTTCCATAGGCTATCAAACAGCGTTGCTGGATTTTAGAGGAAAGCAATGCTTAAAAAGAAGACAGAGTGTCGGCTTAAAGTGAAACATGGCCTGAGCTCAGTCAACATTAAGTGACAATAGACTGCCACTCAAGATATTTTTCAAAATAAAAACTTCCTTGTTACTATATGCAAGTTCCTTAAAACTCTGGCTGCTTTTAGGATATGTGCTATACACAGTAGTCTTGGCAACACAAGATAATAGGAAATAAATATTTTATCACCAAATTGACTATCTGGTTTCTTGTGAATGAAAGCCCATCTCTAAGCTGCTGTGTTTGTTCTCTTGCTAAATGCAATTCATGCCAGGGGACTTAACCTTTCTGCCCAAGAGTTACCACACAGGCTGGCTCCAGGTGCTGTTCTAGGGTGACAGGCAGATGGAGGCTATGCGTGTCCAGGTCACACAAAACAGAAGAAAGCAGACCCTGATCACTGGAATGAGTTGCTCTCAACCCATGTACTTCCAGACTTCAGCAAGGATCTCCCAGATGCCCAGGGCTTAAGAGAGACATCAGGACCTCTGTTTGTTGAAGCTGTGGTCAGTGAACATAAGGCATTTCCAGTGATGCAGCTGCTCCACGAATTCAACAAAAGTAAATGTGAACTAATGGCAGGTAAGGAAGATTTGGCCGTATTTCAACATTGCTGGTTAGTTATATAGCCTTCTTTATGCTAAAAAGACAATATGTATCACAGGAAGGCATAACTATGAATTACGAATTACCATAACGGTAATTTCATGTACATATTTTGTGAGTGTGGAGTGAAATTTTTATCTTACAAAAAGAGAATACAAAGAGAACACGGTTGTCTTTAGGTGAGCTTTTGCACACTGCCACATTATATTGCTATATATTATTTTAGTGCTAAAAAGTTTGTCATTTTAGGCCAAACAATTAAAGTTAGGTCTGTGACACATGTGCAGAGATAAATACAGTCATTGGTCACTGCTTCTTATAAAGGTACATTAGGAAATGAATAATGTATCCAAAATAAGGAGTAGAACCGAAATTTAAAAAATATATTTTTTACTTAATTCATGCTTGGGCAGCATAGACTTGTTAGTAGACATCTACTAATTAGGCCAATTCACACCCAGATCCTCAATCTGTTACATGTATTTCTGTGTGTGTGTGTGTGTGTGTGTGTGTGTGTGTGTGTGTCTGTGTGTGTGCGCGCGCACTCGCGCCATTCAGGCCAGGGTTTGTCAGAACAACTAGCCTGTTTGCAAATGGTCACATTGTCTGTGAGTAGACTCATGCATCCCGGGCATTTAAAACTAACGACAGAAGAGCTATGAAGAACTTATAGAGGGCACGAGAAGATAGAATACATGCAAATATAGCCTCAGCTCCCCAAAACAGGAGTAAGGCAGCATCTACAAATTTAACTGGTGAGTTGAGGCACAGTCTAGGCAAAGCTTCAGAAAGGAATGATTAAAACAGAGGTTTTCTGCACTCTTAAAGGACTACTAATTATTCTGCACTCTTAAAGGACCATGGGTTTGTTAAGAAAAGAACACTCTTTCTAGATTCGCATTATTTCTTTTTGGTGAAGAGAAACAGAAGGGTGAAATCAATAGGCTGGAACCTACCACTGGATGCTAGCGGGTGTTGGCTGGTTTCTCCTGACTTGTGAGGTCTGTGCCAGATGACACAGATTGGATTGTGACTGGCTAATAAACGGACGGATGCAGACATCAGCCAGTGACGAATCCCACAGGGTTAAGTTGAGCCTGAGACATTGAGAGTGATGAAAACAAAACACCACATCTCCTAAGGTTAACACTGCCCCCCAATAGATCGACTCTCTCCAGAAGGCACACTGCCCCATCCCTGGATGTGACCAGGCCAAGGCTGGAGCACCTCTTGGCCTTGGGTGCCGTCAAGAGACCCAAACGTCTGCTTAGAGATCATAAGATGTGGCATCCTGTCCCTCCGTTTTTTACACTCTGTGATTCTTTGGAAGGCCTCCGTGAGTCACGCGGACTTGCAGAAGCCAGCTTTGGCATATTGGAACAGAGTGAGATGACACAGCTCCCACTTAGGCAGGAGATTTTTATCTTTCCTGCCTGAAGTGCTAGACATTTGGCCAGGGCGGCATGCCTGATGTTCACCTGCACGCCACAACACACATCACCGCGACTGCTCAGGGAGTGCTAGTACCTCTTTGTCTATATT